CCTTATTATTATTATTATTATTATTATTATTCGATCTGACGAGGTTCAGCTGTCAACGTCGTTAATCAGACGTGTACAGAGATTCACGATGTCGAGAGAGAGCGGGAACATAACGGTGCCGCCGCGGTTTAATTAACGTCGACAACCTGAAGCTACGACTTAAAATGAGACGAGCAGCAGAAGATATGAAATGTTGACTGAGTGTATCCGACACGCTGAGCTGTTGAGTTGATAAGCTTAAAATATTCATCGGATGTGCATGAAAGTTTAACTTCCCGCTCCTGAAGCTCCTGGAGTGACTGACTCGATCGTTTTACCAGAATAAAAGACTCGCTAACGTGTTACAGAAGTGGAATCTGTTGGCATAAAGCGCATTAACTCCACCGCAAATACGTTTAATTTAGTCTTTTGTTAAATTAACACCTTGACAGAAATAATATTCTATTCCTGAATTCAGCCTCGGTCAACTTCCCCCTTTTTTGAAACTAGCTAACTTAAGATGTGACTATATATATATTTGTCACTTTTATCTTTTAACCATCTTCAAAATGTGGTTGTCTTTTTAACATAGATTAGCTTAGCATATAGCATATCTAAGTATTCAAAAAGTCAAAATTAGCTACAACTAATATAATCAAAGTTGACCCGCGAAACGCCGACTAAAAGTTAGCGTCCTGCCCACGAGTTTTGTACGATGCACATTTGTTAAAAACAGGAACAGGAGATTAAAGGTTCAATAAGAAATATGTTATGTAATATGTGTTTTATTAGCCATTAAAACAAATTGTACTGCTTGTTGTTGTTGTTTCCGTCCGTCTAATTGTTTGTTTCAGGACTGTTTTCATGTCGCTCATCACGTTGAGTTCACAGCAATCAGTTACTACGCACACAAACAGGAGGACAAACCAGTGTGTGTACGTTTATTGAATGTCAAGGATAAAACGGAGTCCGGTGGCGGTGATGGACGACCTGCCAGCGAGAGAGCGAGACCTGTGTGTGTGCAGATGATGTAGATGTCTGTGAGCAGCGTGAGGGTCACATGAGTACGATTTATTACAGACAGGAGGTGAACTGTGTGTGTTTGTACTCCGACTACAGCTCCGTGACAACTGCACCAAAGTCAATGCAACAACACCGCAAATGTAAACATCGTATGTCGTCACAAAATATCGAGTGTATTGTGATATTTCTGCACATTTAACTGACAAACCATCTGGAGATGAGCAGGAACATTCATTGTTTTTGGTTAATCACTTGATTAAATATCTGAGGTTTGATGTAGTTTCTCACACTGATGCGAAAACAATCCCATGAATTCATTATTGTCGGCAATATAATCCATAATATATATTTTATTCAATTATTAAAATGTGCTTCAGGTGCGACTGTGTCTATAAATTAGTTCGTTTAGTGATACGAGTGGTTTAATTTTACAAATGTTTTTATATTTAAAGCTCCAGTGTGAAGAATTTTAGTGGTGTGGTTGCAGATTGCATCTTCCTCGCTTCACCCTCCCCTTTCAAGCGTGAAGGGGAAACTACTGTAGAAACATGGCGGACTCCGCCAGAAGAGGAGCCGCTCCCTCTGTATACCACAACGTCTCATTCTAAGCTTTTCTTTTGTATTATTTAACATCATTATATTCCATTTCTGCCCATAGATCCTCCACTAAATGTTACTCACTGAGACTTTTCAAATATGGAGAGTTTAATTTATAACCTTCGATGCTGCTTTTACGTCCTGTTAGTGCCACAAACCTCTCAAAGTCCGACTCAAGTCTGCAGCTCAAACTATTTCTTTTACTTTTATTGACAGCAGCTGTAAATAAATCTTCCAATCCATCAAAATTGTAATCCTCCGACTTTATCGGTTCCTTTTATTGATGCCAGCGTTTTTTTCAGACACATTTTATAGTGATGAGAATCGAGAACCGGTTCCAAGTTAGACGGTGGAGCTTGTGCACAGCTGAGTCACGTGCCGACCTATTTCCTACTCAGTTACTGTTGTGTTGATGCTCTTGTCACACAGATCAGGAATCAATCAGGGAAATCACTAAAGAATCGGACCGATAAGACTCGATCATGACATCAGCTTCAATCAAATGTTACAAACATGCAAATACAAAACATGAATATTACTAAAAGAAGAGTGAATGTTTTGAGGATGAAACTTCATTCTGTTACTTGTTGATCAGTCGATCAATCAGAGGCCAGCGTGCCGATCGTGACTTCCACCGGACGCCACGATCCGCGTTCTGCCTCGTTCCCACAGAACGAAATCACAGCCACCGCAGACGAAAGACAGGCTGCCTCAATCAGCCGGGCGGTTTACAGCAGGCTCAACGCCGTGTCGACCAAATCACACACAGACCAGAGCCTGCCCCGAACGCTGCAGCCCGCTTTAACAAAAACAGAGCTTCCTGTTTCGGGCCCGCGCGGTCGGACCTGGGAGAGCTCCAGGTGAGCAAACACAACTAATTTCTACAAATAAACAACGGAGATGCAGTTTGGACCGACTGATTAGCCAGATCTGACCAGAACGCAGGGCCGCCACCGCCCGGCATCCAGATGTGGAGGCTCTTGGTTAAACATTTACTTTGGGGGCTTGGGGGGGGCGGCGACGGCATCTGGACGTCGTTTCATCCTGTCAAACAGGTCGGAGCTGCAGTGGCACTGATTCGGTTTCAGATTGGTTCAATGCTGATTTGTAATAGTTTGTTTAAGTGGACCTGACGCTCCAGGTGGACGGGGTTTACCTTCCAGTGCGGAGCTGTTCGGGGTGACCGATGAGTGTTTTGAAAGCGGTGTTTGGGTGAGTTTAGTCAACTGTTAAAGGCAATTTCCTCTCAGATAGTTTTGGTTTTATTGAACTTTCAGATATCTGTCTCCGTGAGCTCGGCCTCCACCACCAACGGAGAGGAAGAGAATTTAAAAAAATACATTTAAAGGAGCATCAACTCCAAGATATTTGTGGGGTTTTTTGGCGTGATTATTGCAGCCAAATATAACTTAAAATCAGCAGTAATTATAACGTAATTATGTCAAATTGACTTGAAACGTTCGAGTGCTGATGGTTTAATTTATGTCGGTGGTGAACGGCGCTCTTTCAGTGAAGGACGAGAGAGCTGATTTCTTTTCTTATTCCTGTTTTATAAAGATATTATGACTATATAATCCTATAATGTACATTATTTTATTAGATACACGACAGAAATGTCTCACTTTGGTAATAATGGTGAGACTTTTGTTTTTACATTAAAAGCTTTTAGCATCAGTGCTGGGTGATATACGGGTTCTAATGTGTGAGATGTTCCTGTATAAGATGAATTTTTCATACACAACCATACCGATCAGATCTGAAACAACTGAACTGCAGTGATGACCTTCGACCTCGCCCAGTTGGAGCTCGGTTGTGTGTTCTTGTGTTCTTGCTTGTGCTAGCTGTGTTAGCATCCACAGACTCCTCGCCGATGTCTCACCAGATGACTGTTAAGATCCGTCGTGTTACGTCTGACAGATCTTACAGATGGACAGACTTCTGTCTAACTTTCCTTCTTATAGAATCCAATTGTCTTCCAAACTTCAGATTTTAGATTTGATGGTGCTCTGTAAATCCTCTCGGTTAGCCACGCTGAGCTGACGCTACCCTGGCGTTGACCTTTTACCTTTCACGAGAGTGGAAACGCTGCACAGATTCAGACTTTAGAGTCGGACCATCGACCGGTTCGTGGTACATTTAGATCCAACCTTTGTAGGAGACCTCAACCAAAGCGTCACAGCAGAGGTGGAAGATTATTCGGCTGTTTCAGGAGACAAACAGAGCCAACCTTATTAATCCTAATGGGAAATTACAGTGTTACTAAACAAATACTGCACTTTACTCAAATGCTTTTAACCTCTTAAACAACCAGCTTCACATACAGGCTTCTGGGATTAGTGTCAGAGTGTGTGTGTGTGTGTGTGTGTGTGTGTGTGTTTTAACGGTATTATGAAAGGGTAAAATCTGTGTGTCAGTTGAGGTGTGTTTACTCTGCTCACCTCAAACACTAAACACTGTCAGTTCTGTTTGTCCTTTAACGACCTGCTGACATACACACACACACACACACTTACAGAGTGTGTGTGTGTGTGTGTGTGTGTGTGTGACTGTCTCTCTCACACACACACACACACACACACACACACACACATGGCGAGGATGTGAGGAGCGCTGTAAGGAATGAATGAAATGAGTGGAAAGTAGCCGTCAACGGTTGAGGTCGATTCAAACTCTGCTGGAAATTTGCCAAGACATACACACGCACACACGCACGCGCACACGCACACACACACACACACACACACACACACACACACACACACACACACACACACTCAATAAATAAACTCCACCCAGCCCTTAAAGAAATAAAATCACTGCTGCCACTGTTAGAAAACTACAGAACAACAACAATATTAAAGGGCCAAACACAAACAAATTATGCTTTACATTACTGCTGACCTCTGACCCCAACCCTGCTGAGGGGAGAGCTCTGCACAAATATCACTGAAAATATCAGAGTCAAAGCATAAAACTGTAATAAATCACTGACTTCCCTCTGATTTTAACCATAATCCGGCATCAAACCAGCAACTCACCGTCTCCTTTAAAGCAAACGGGAAGATTTAAGATTACAGAAGAGTTTTCTACACAAACATCTTCTCACCTCTCTGAGATGGAAGTAGAAGGTGCAGGTGAGATTTAAAATCACTGTTTCTCTGTTAAGTTGAATATTTGAGGCATTTTCTTCTCTCAGAGTAAAGCGCACAAACCAACCACAGCAGTTAATGTAAAACAACCCAAAACAACTCCAAACGCACAAAAACATGGTTAACATGAGTTAACTTAACCTGGATTGATCTTAATGTAACACACACACACACACACACACACACAGTCTCAAACCATCAGCGGCTCGTTTTGCGCTTTTACGCACGAGAAGAACAGAATCCACTTCTTACCTCGGAGGTTCTGGATCTTCACCACGACCTCGGCGGGCTCCCGCAGGCTGCTCGCCAGGTACAACCTCCCCGAGTCCCGCTCGATCTGAACCGGCGACTCTGCCTCGGATATCACCTCGAACCACCGCTGCTCGAACCTCTGGTCCGGCACCGTGAACACCAGGTCCCCGACTCTGACGTGGTCCGGGACGGTCACGGTGTAGGACAGCTCCTCGGACAGAGCCCGGGTCCTCCGCCGCGCTCTACCGGAGCCGCGGACGTCGACCCGCAGGAACACCGGCTCCCCGACCAGCGCCACGTCTCCGCCGTCGGTCACGTAAAGGCGCAGAGACACCTGGCGGACACCCAGGAGGGACCCCACCAGCCTCACCTGCCCGGTCTGTGGGACCACGTGGAGCAGGTGAGACTCCGGTGACGCGTAAAAGGTGACGCGTCCGTTCCTCTCGGCGTCGCCGTCCTTGGCGTCAAAGCGGGCCAGCTCGGTACCGAGCGGCGTCAGCTCGTCCACTTCAACCGTCCGGTTCCCGCTGGTGAACCGGGGGATGTTGTCGTTCCTGTCCGACACTTCGACCTGCACGGCGGCCGGTCTCCTCAGACACCGCGGCGGCAGCCGCACCGTCAGCTCGTACATCGCTATAAACTCCCGGTCCAGAGCTTTGGAGGAGACCAAACCCAGATGCCCGCGGTGGTCCCGGTGCCCGCGGTAGTGAACGAGCCTAAAATCCGACGCGTAATCCCCCGTGAGGCTGGCATTCAGGTCCGCGCCGGGGCAGCCGCCCGCTCCGAGCGGCAGCAGCACCCCGTCCACCGGCGTCCCAGCCGGGGAGTTCTCGGCTATTTGCCCCAAGTAGCGCACTGGATGCCCGGGCTGCGCGGAGAGACACCCCGGTGAGGCATGAAGCAGCAGCAGCAGCAGCAGCGGGAGCAGGTGGGAGAGGAGGTCGTGCAGGAGAACCGCTCCAGATGCAGCTTTGGTCATGTTTCCATCAAACCCGGTTCGGTTGGAGAAGGTCTGTCTCTCAGAGGGTCCGGGGTTCAAGTTTACGCGCAAAAAATAAATATTTCTTTGCGGGAAAGAGCAAAAATCCCCCGATGCAGAATGTTTAATAAATGATTTAATGTCTGTAATTAACGTCCTGACTCCGTGTCGGTGAGACACACACACACAGCATGAAGCCGACTCTCCTCTCCACTTAATTAATAATTCAATCAAAATCACTTTTACGCACAAGTGAAAGGATATCGGTGTTTTCTCCTCCTGTCTGTGGTGAAGCTGCAGCAGCAGAAGAGAGAGAGAGGAATAACAGACTGCTCCTCCTCCACTGTTCTCCGCTCAGAGGAGGCTGTTGATGCGCCAAGTTGCTCCGGAGTGTCTCCACCGGAGGATGGCTCAGACTGACGGGCACACAGACACCCAGCACACTCCATGTGGCTCCGGAGGCCCCGCCCCACCCGGGGGAGAGAGACCAATCAGGTGGCGGGAGCGGGTGTGATTGACAGGCCGCAGGACCCGCCCACTGACATGCTGAGTCAGGTGATGGAGAGAGAGAGAGAGAGAGAGAGGAAAGGTGACACACAGAAAGGGTTTGTGGGTAACTTTATACTGTTTCCCATCACCATCCTCCTCCTGACCCCTGTGAGACCCTTTTCACAGCAAACCTGACGTCCCATGATCCTCTCTGTCGGCTCCTTTACAGCAGGTGAACCTGTGAAGCTGCAGGCTGAGACGCAGTGCGAGGAGAGACCTGTGAGCCGTCTGCAGGGTGGAACTAACACACCTTTGTATGGCAGAGGGAGGGTGTACCACCGTAACGCAGCCACGCTGGTTAACGTGCAACACGCCAAAAGTCAAATGCTGTTAAAGGTTTAGTGTGTTTGTGGCATTCCTCCGGGGCAGAGGTCAAACCTGACAACACATCTTAATAAAGGGAGTTAAATGAATCCTCCAAAAACACAATTAACATGAACTGTTTTATTCCACTGACTCATTTTCTTTAAGTTGACTTTATGTCATTAAAATCAGTTTATTAATCATCATATCAACAATTATGCATCCAAGTCATTCTTAAAAGTGTTTGACACATAAAGAAACCCACAGAAGGGTCTCGGTTAGCTCAGTTGGTAGAGCTGGCGACCCATATACGCAGTGGCCCGGGTTTGAATCCGACCTGTGGCCCTTTGCTGCATGTCATCCCCTCTCTCTCTGCCCCCCCCTTCCTGTCTATCACCCTCTGTCAAATAAAGGCATAAAAGGCCCCAAAAAAAACAACCCCACAGAATATTAATTTGTAACCATTTTGAAAACCAATTAATTATAAATTATTTTTATTGTTCGTCAGCTGTTTTAACAGGTAATGTATTAATTTGCTTTAGTGGAAGAAAATGAAACATTTGTATAAAGATTCATTTAAATGACTTTAATCAGATAAATTCTGTTCACACGTTTTAAATAAGTTTGGAGAAATGTGTAACTTCAATTAACTTAATTTACTTTAGTTACCTTAAGTTAATACTTTAGTTACTTCCACTCAAATCAAATCTCTTCCATGATTAAACTGATTAAACTGATTAAGGCAGTCGGTTTTACAGCGTTTGTTAAAACTTAACGGAGCAGGAGACACATTTTAGAAAGTAATGAGGTTACATTGTTCTGTTGTCTTATTGAATACACTTAGATCAATACTTCTTATTGATACTCCTTCCTCATTTGTATAGTTGGCGTTGAGGTAATCCAAAAGTAACAGAAAGTAATCGATACCCAGAGAGCAGAGGCAGCACAAACAAAATAACACACAAGAAAAACAACTAAAGTAACTAAAAAAACCCTGTTTGTTAAGGAGGCACACAATTATTAGGACCCTCGCAGTTTTACCGCTGGAGGTCCCTATTGTTTTTGGTTCGTTTCTTATTATTAGGGACCTCATGAGCGACCGCGCTGGAGGTCCCTATTACTTTGGATTCGTTTCTTACATATTAGGGACCCGCAGTTTACCGCTGGAGGTCCCTATTGTTTTTGGTCTGTTTCTTATTATTATTATTATTAGGACCTCGCAAGCGACCGCTGGAGGTCCCTATTGTTTTGCTCGATTTACCTATTATTATTATTATTATTTTTAGGCCACTCGACTGCGCTTTTCCCTGAATATATACGAAAACTCAATTTTATTTGGCAAAGTTGCTCAGCCTGGTGAAAATTTGATATTCTATGCTCTTTTTCGGGTCGGCCACTAGGTGGCGCTACTGTTTAGGGTAAAGTATTGTCACTTTTTGGTTACTTAATAACTTTTGCATATTTTTGTCGCATTCAAAACTTATATCCACGCCGCTCGGGTGAATGATTCTGAATCTTCCATATAGTCTCCGCCCACTTCCGCCTATAATTTTTTTCGTTAGAGCGCTAAATGGCCTTAAAGTACGCTGCGGGTCCTCCTACACGCTTTGTCCACTCCCCACAAAATTTTTCACCCAGCACCTGGGGACCGCCCGGCAAAAAGTAATGAACCTTTTTGAGTGCTTCAAAGCGTTTCGTAGTTTTGACTCTGATGTTATGGAAAGAGACCGCCTTTGATTAGAAATACGATGTCAATTTAAAGTCTGTGTTCTTATAACCCTGAAATTCAAAGTATCAGCTGATCATTAGGTCACTAAAAAATAAATTTTGAAATGAGGAGTTGAGTCTTCTATGACCACTGATGATTAAAATGAAACTTGGTAGGATGTTGCCCATGGCTCCCCGGAGGCTCACCAAAAAGGAAAAAAATCAGGCCACTGCGGCGCTCTGCGGCAGGATAAATCACTGTGCGGAGACCGTAATAGTTATGAATATGAAATTCACAGGGCACGTGTAGAGTAGTGCCTGAAGCTCACATACCAAAATCGTGTTTGTCGGTGTGTATTTCCCTACAGATAAAAACAGTAGCTCCTGGCGCCTCGCTTTCACCGATATGTACGAAACTTGGTAAGCATGTTTAACATGCTGAGACATACAAAAAAAGCCTTCCTTGACCCATACCCGACACCACACAGGTCGGCCATTTTGATTTAAAATTTCATTTCGCTAACTTTTCGTTGTATTTGAACGAACTCTCCTAGGGAATTTATCCATATGCTTCAAAATTTGTGAGTACACTCAAAAAAATGGTCCTGATTTAAAGTTGTGCTATTTACGACATTCGTCAAACGGCGTGTCCGTGGCTTCCCATCAAAGTCAGCCATTTTGCATTCTGTGCTCATTTTCTGTGATTTTTCGCCTTGTATTTGTCCAACTCCTCCTAGGGAATTTATCGGATCTACCAAATTTAATCAGCGCAATCTAAAGACATTCATGATTTAAAGTTGTGCTATTTACATTCCGTCAAACGGGCGCGCCCGGTATGCTATGCGCTAATTTTGACCAGTCACCTTAAACAGATAGTACTCAACTTCAGTGTACAGTCCCACCCTGGAACACGCCCTTCATAATCTCAGCGTACATGATCCAATCTCATGAAACTTCACGCAGATAAATACTCCCACCCTGAACACGTCTACATGACAATATTCAGACAAAGTGATAGCGCCACCCACTGGCAACAGGAAGGTAAGCGCTGCGTGGCGATTTTGGAGCTACATGGGGGGAAATGACTGTGCCAGTGACGACTTGTCCAATTCAGCGGATTCGCCATGAAATGCCACTCATAACTTCAGTGTGCAATGTCCAATCTCCGATAAACTTAATATATTCTGAAACAGTTTTGCCCTGGAACACGTCCTCATAATCCCAGCGCACGGGTCCACCTCAATGAAACTTCACGTGTTTGATAACACTCTCGCCTTGAACATGTCTACATGGACAACATTCAGACATAGCGATAGCGCCACCCTTCTGGCAACAAGAGTTGCGCTGCTTGGCGATTTTGAACTGATTTACGTGACATTTTCATGTTGTGGTCCCCACGCAGCCACGACGGCCCGCGACGCGGCCGCAGCACGCCCGGAAGGTGGAGTGCGAGGTCCCGCTCAACGCTGCTTGCAGCTTTAATTATTATTATTTTTAGGGACCTTTGACTGCATTTCTCTTTACCCCCCTGAACATATATACGAAAAGTCAATTTTATTTGGCAAGTCAGGCCTGGTGAAATGCGGAGTTTGGTGTCACTTTCGGGTCTGCTACTAGGGTGGCGCTACTATTGAGAAACGAATTTTCACTTTTTGTTACTTAATACCCTTTTGGTATATTTGTCACATTATCAAAATCCTATATCCACGCTGTCAGTGAATGGAGCTGAATCTCTCCATATAGGGCCCCGCCCGCCTATAATTTTTTTTTCGTTAGAGGCGAAATGTCGTTAAACTACTTTTTTCATGTTCCCACACGCTTGTCCACTTTCGGGCACTTGTGTTCTTTCTCACCTAGCACCTGGGGACCGCCCTGGCAAAAAAAAGCAATTTGAACATTTTCGAAATTTCAAACAATAAGCACGCTTATAAAATTAGCACTTCCTGTGGGAATTTTCATCAAAAAAAGGAAGTGGACCATTTCTCCACATTGGTATGTCCGATTGACACCAAACCTGGGTGCAAAGTTCCAGGTGTGTTCCCTAAGCACAGTGCACAATTTCAGGCCATCAGCACTAGGTGGCGCCTTTAAAATGAAGACGTTTATATTCACAATGGTATGTGTGATTAAGATGAAACTTGGTACGATGCTTCCCCATGGCTCCCCTGAGGCCCTTTTAGACAAAAAATACGCCACTAGGCGGCGCCTGGCATGAAAATCATTGTACGGACACCGTAATAGTTATGAATATGAAATTCAGAGGTGCTGTGCAGAGTAGTGCTCAGCTCACATATCAAAATCGTGTTTGTCCTGTGTGTAGCGCCCTACAGGATAATAAACAGCAGCCCCGGCGCCCACGTTTCACCGATATGTACGAAACTCTAGTAGTCTGCTTAGAATGCCGACGTACAAAAGCCTCTTGGACCCATACCCAAACCCCACAGGAAGTCGGCCATTTTTATTTAAAGTTTCACTTTCGGCGAACTTTTCGCTTTATTTGAACGAACTCCTCCTAGGAATTTACCAGATCTGCTTCAAAATTTGTCAGTACAGTCAAAAAATGGTGCTGATTAAAGTTGTGCTATTTGTATGTACGTTTGAAGGGCGTGTCCGTGGCGTGGCATCAAAGTCAGCCATTTAGATTTTATCATTTTCTGTGATTTTTCACGTTGTATTTGAACGAACTCCTTGTGTAATATTTGATCTACTTCAAATTTAATTGAAGCACCAAAGACATTCATGATTAAAAGCTATTTACTATATTCCGTCTCAAACGAAGGCACTGTGGGCGCTGCGCCACCCCCGACCATTCACCATAAACAGATAGTACTCAACTTCAGT